ACATGGTACCTGGTTGCTACTTGTGAATATATAATTATTTACGAGAAAACCAAAAGGTCACCTTGGCTGCTACTGTGAGAGCAGAATACCAGAGGCAGAAGCAGAGATCCTAGAGAGGAGAAGTAGGAAGAGATTGTAATAATCCAGGAGAGAGGCGGTGGCACAAGAGAGGGATGGGGACAAGAGTGACACATAGCTGAATTCCAGGAGAGTCTTGAATGTAAAACTAATAGAACATACTGATGGGTTGGATATTGGGTATAGGAGAACGGGAAGAATGATGATAACGCAAAAGTTTTTGTCCTAGACAAATGGAAGAATGAAGAAAGATAGTAACAAGAATCATCAGCAAACCAAGAAGCTTGGTCTGAGGTAGTTGATTCTTGGCCAGGAAATGAAGCAACAAACCCTCTTCCTCCAATCAGGCAGCTCGGGCCTGAGCCTTCCAGTTAAGGACAGTAGCATAGTAAAGTGACTAGACTCTCTTAAGACAAGATCCCAATATGTAGCCCTGGTTGGCCTTGAACTCATGATCTTCCTACCTCAGACTCCCAAGTACTGGGATTACAGGTAGCTGCACTGTGTCTGGCATGAGTGTACTCTTTAAAAAACAAAAATAAAGAAAAGAGTGAATGTACTTTTGCTAAACCTACTCACAGGCAGCTGAGTTATTTTGGCCTTGTCTTGGATCTTTTTGGAAAGAAACGTTTGTTTGATAAACAGGAAGTCGTTTCCATGGGTGTAGGAAGAAGAAATGATAGAACCAAGTGGCAAAGAAAAGAGCAAGTAGCTGTGGTTAGCTTGGGATGGACAGAGTTTTTCAGGTAACCACGTAAGACTTGCACACATGCTGCCTTTGCCACTCTCGGCTGCTTACTCATCCTGAGAAATGCAGAGTTCCTGCCCATTGCTTGACCTACTGTTGGGTTCGGTTGTTTTTAGCAGTTTTGCATTAGCTGTTGGTCACAGGCTTAGGAGAGAGATGAAGACACTGTGCTCAGAGTGGAAAAGTGACTTATTTTAAGAAGTGTTCACTCCCACCACCATCCCATTGGCGTACATCTCTGACACTGCACTGAAGCTGGCGTAAGGGCAAAGGCTGGCTGTTGTGGTTTTGCTCTTTGCGAGGTTAGAACCTAAATGTACCACAGGTGTTTCCCTTAGTGAGACTGAAGAGTCACAGTGGATGCTGAAGTGCGAGGTGCGTCCTGATGCCCTACTGCTTTTGAGACTGCAGAGTCCATTCCCTGTTCTAATGCTGCCTCCCTCAGGAGGTGTCTACATCTCTTAGCGTCACAAGGTTTTTAGAGCTTTTGTGAGAAGAGCAGGTAAAGATGAAAGACATCCAATGCTAAGTGACTTGTGATGGCTGGAAAGTGAGCGAGGCTAGACTCTTACTTTTGATAAGCGCTGGAAACTGGAGAACTGCGAGTTACCTCATCCCTGTCCACTGATTTTACACGGCTGGAGTGAAGTTTGGTAGAAGAACACTTTAAATTTGCCACAGACCTAAATAGATAAGGAGCTAATTGCTAGTGTGAAAGGACTCAGTGTGTTGGGTGTTACACGACAGATGTCTCCTTGAGGTTTATCCAGATGGGAGGCGGGGCAAGATAGAGATACCAGAAGTGAGGTCCTGGCTTCAGGGTGGGCTGAGGGGGGGCTGAGGCCTGGTGGTATTTGTGGCTAGGACTTAGGAGAGCTGGCTCACTGAATTGCCTGGAAGAAGGAGAACAGCTCGTCAGAGTTTCTTGCAGCTGGAATTCACCCTGACAAGGTTCAAGTCATGCTTTTTAATTCAAATATTGAGTGGATTCAGGAGCCATTTTGTTTCATTTTCCTTCAGAAAGCATCCCGGCTTGTATTCAAATGCTATTGTGCTAAAATTCTTCACTGAAAGTTTAATATTACACTTGAACTTGAAGTCTTGCTGTCTATCTACTGAACATATAGGAATATAAAGCGGCAGTCATCAGCAGGCAGCTGAATGGCTATTTCAGCAGGGACTAAAAACCACTGCAGGCCATTGGCTTTCTGGCACACCCACCAGACCCCCTTAGATTTCCACTGGAAGCAAACTAACAGGGTTAGGGGTGGGGGAATCAGATGGGCAGAGATACAAGCTGAGGCTAAGGTGTGAAAGAGACAGACCACTAGGACGGACCTGTAGGTAGAGAAGAGCACAGTGCTGCCAAAGAGAAGTCTTGAACACCGAACACAGCAGGCAGGAGGAAATACCTAATGTTTGTAAACACTTTGTGTGTGTGGATAGCCAGATGTTGTGGTGCAGACCTATAATCCCAGCACTCAGGAGGCTGAGGCTGGAGGGTCACAAGTTAAAGGCCATCCTAGGCTACATAGCAAGACTTTGAGTAGAACAAAAACAAACATGGTTTATGTATCTTTTTCATATACCCACAGTTACAGGAATACTATAGGTGACTTTGGGGAAAGAAATACAGGTAAGCTGTGTGTAGTTTAAATATTATAGTTTTACCCAGGGTGCTACCACAAATACCTCTAATCAGAACCATTAACAGTGACAGTTGATGTGTAAAATAATCACCTTTAAGGACTGCAGAATCTCACCAGACTTTGTGATCTATTAATGAAATACTTAAATATTCCCTCTGTAGTGCTGAGTGGACCTTTAACAAATGTGTTTTTAAGCATCTTCGAAAATTAAAAGTTTTGTGATGTATGATAATTTAATTAAAAGAGGGTTAATACACTAGCCTTTCCTGGGCTGTGGCATGGGGGAGTTTACTTTTGTTTAGCAGAACGAGAGGTGGGGGTATTGGCAATGAGAATGTTTGGTCCAAGGACAACCAGTGTGTCATTGTAAAGATAAAACAGAACTAAGCCGCATTCCACCAGCCCTGATCTCTATGACAATTTTGAGCTCGTTCCAATCATTTTAGGACAATAAGGTACTTAGAAATTATTTATAGAGTTTTTCAATAAAAGAAAGTCACTTATTTCACAAAATTAATCATTCTGTCACATTTAAGAAGTTCTTTGATGTGTTCTGGTAATTAGTATTTACTGCTAGATGCATGTCTCTGGGCATTTTAATTAATGGGTGGCTTGGCCAAATGAGCTTCTGATGGTAAACCTTCACAAGAGTTTATTTTTATGTTTCTCAAGAATAGCTGTCTCTTCAAAGCTCTTTAATTAGACAAAGTTTAGCAACTAAAACATATTATTAGGATAATTAGGCCCCTCTTAAGAGAAATAGGGGGTCAAAGGAGCAGGTGCTGTTAGAGAATGACCTCTTGAAGTAGAGCACTCTACATCTGATGGACGCCCCGTTCCTTAGCAGCTTATGTTAAGTTACTGTCTCTAGCCAGACTCTTCGTGTTGTCTGAAGTTCATGTGACAGGTCTCACAGAGGCCGAAACACACTGGGGTGCTTACTCATTTATCACTACCTGTAAATCCTTGGGAAGCTGTGTTCTGGAACTTCTAAGCAGAAGACTTCTTACTTTCTCCTGCTTTCTATTAAGTTGGTAATCTTGGAAATAACACTGATTATTTTTTAGGGTAATATTTCAAAGATCTTGTGTATGGTATGCAAAAATTATAACAGTTCTTTTAAGGTGTTTTTTCTTTCTTTTGTTTTTTGGTGGTGGGGATGGAACCTAAGGCTTTGGGCCACATGCTGTACACTGAGGTCTGAGGTTCACCTCCTGCCCCAAGACATTTCTTAAAGTTGTTACAGCATTTACACTCCAGAATCTTGTGTTCTTTGAGATCAGACTGACGTTTTAAAAATGTGCTCCCGAGATGGACTGGGAACACCCTCCTCCATTTCTCAGTCTTGGCAGTCCTTACTAGTAATAATGTTTTACTATGCAGTTTCTTTTTGCAATGGAACAAACAAAAAAAGATATACCTGACTGATCCTGTGGGTGAGTGAGATTTCACCAGAACAATCGGGTAGTTTTAATGGAACTACTATTGATAATACAATTATCTATGGTTCCAGTTTTTCACTTTCTTACAATCTCAGGATGCATTTTATGGCAGACGTGCTCCCCTCCCTCAGATTGGTTGATAAAGGACGGTGCTGATAAAACCATTAAAAATTTCAGACAGCATATACTATATCCCAGCTGTCATCTGTCATGACCTGGATTGTGTTGTTGCTCTGATGAAGAACTAAGTCTTAGACTATGTATGTCACCAGTTCAGTGCAAACCTACTGCCATTTTTGGATGGTACTTAAAGAACTTATATTGATTGTGGATCAGTCAGATTATTTGGGTTTAGATTTCAAGGACTTATGAACTGATTTATACTAGTGCGAGTTTCTCACGTTAATTCTTTTGCTATAGCATAGCAACGTGGCCACTGTAATGATTTCTTTTAAGTTGGTAGAAACTTCACCTGGTTTTCTATTGATGTTAGTGATACAGTTCTAAGAACATTTGGTAAGCTCAACAAATGCTCATACATAGATGAAAACATGTTGCTAAGTGACCAAAAAAGTATGGTTTTTTTTGTCAAATTGTAGACCTTTAAGGAAACAGAAGAGATACTAGCCTAAACACAGTCCTTTGTAAGACAGTTTTCCCCCTGTACAATGTCTGCTTTTTCCTAAAATGATTGATTACTGGGGCTCTGCTTTTTGACTCACACTTCAACACAGGAAACACTTCTGATACTTATCTTCATGTGTGTGTTTCCTTATGTATATGTAATCTTTTGCAATGGGTGTGAAAAGGAAGGTGTTGAAAAATACCAGTAAGCCCTCAAATACTCATTTCTTATGGTAGGACAAGTATACTCTTATGTATACTTAACGCATTACAGGAATTCTTTTTACTAATGACTTTTTATAGATATAAACCAGGACTGTAAGAGTGTTAGTCTCCTTTTCTCTGTTTTACTTCTTTAACTGTCATTTGGTGGGGTCTCTTCATATCCCTCCTAAGTCTACCTTTTGAAACTATAGCAGCATCCAAAATGAGAACTGACTGTGCTCTTCTTCAACACAGACCACCTGGTGGCCCATGGTAGAATGGCAGAAAAGGAAGCCCGGCGGAAGTTCAAACAGATCGTCACAGCTGTCTATTTTTGTCACTGTCGGAACATTGTTCATCGTGATTTAAAAGCTGAAAATTTGCTTCTGGATGCCAATCTGAATATCAAAATAGCAGGTGAGAAGTGTGTTGAGGATGTGAAATGGGGACAAAGACACTTTCCCTTCAGGGTTCTTAAAGCAGAGGATTGGTTTTTATTCTCTAAATGTATAATATAAAGATGCTAAAAGTAGATATAGGATCTCCTAAGGTTTTTCTGAGTACTTTTTCTTCTGTCTGTATAAATACATATGTCAAGGTTGCATGGTACATCTACTGAAGATGGTACTCAGCTACTTTGAACATAATTCCTTTTTTTCAGGCCAGCCTTTTACCGCCTCGAATTTCATTAGCCTCCCCATCCTATGGTGCCCCAAAAACCTCCTTTGCTGCCTCTGTCAGCTCGTGCTTCACTGTTTGGACTACCAGCGCTCTCCTGACAAATACGAGCCCACCACCCATTGATGGAAGAACATGACTGCAGTCCATACAGAGCCCATAAATAAGAGAATGAGCCATTTTTGTTTCTGACAGTTCTGTGGTGACATGGTGCATCCCCTACCCCAGATATAAAAAGAGGGCATTTCATGTGAAAATTGAAGTGCAGTTAGAATGGCATTGTCTTCAAAGTTGAGGTGTGACAGCAGTTGTAAAGGTTTCTCTCCTTGCAGGGCGGGCCTTGAAAGTTCACGTTTATATGCCGCAGGTTACAGCACCTAAGTGCACCCTTACGAAGTGTGCTGGCAGACATCTTAGACGGGATTACGGTGTCCTTCCTCCCTCCTTCCTTGGTGGTCATTTTTGGTTTTGGTTCTTTTGGTGGTAGTGGGGGCTGAACTCCACCTTGTGCTTGCTCGACAGGTACTTGAGCCACTCCGCCAGCCCTTTCCTTTCTTCTTCTCTTTCTTTCTTTCTCTTCCCTTTCCTTCCTTTCCCTTCTTCCTCTGTCCCTGCCTCCCTTCTCTCTGGGCCCCTCCCCCCCTTCTTGAGACATGTTTCTATGTATAGCATAGACTGGTTGTGCAGACTGGTCTAGAATTTCCTGTGTAGCCCAGGCTAGCCTTGAACTCACAATCCTCCTGCCTCAGCCTCCCAAAGGGCTTTCTTTATCTCATATAAAATCATGTTTTTCCTTTGCTTTTGTGTCTGTTTTCTCCAAAGATCTCTAGATGTTGGCTGTCCCCACAGAGGCAGGTGGTATGGAAGGGCGTGGCAGTTTCAAGCCCTCTTTATAATTATTTCTCACAGTTTCAATTAAATTAATAATAATAAAACCTGCCATACTTCACAGTCCTTAGAAGTATAATGGATGGGAGCTGAGGCAAGAGGATTGCAAGGTTGAGGCCAATCTGGGCCTACATAATGAGACTATCTCCAAAAAAAAAAAAAAAAAAAATGCGTAGCAGAATGTATTCGTTTCTTGTTGCTGTCTCACTTTACCACAAGCTCAGGGGCTGAGGCTCGAGACAACACACACTTAGAGCTTGTGACTCTGGAGGTCAGTGGTCCAGAATGAGTCTTACGGGGCTACAGTCAAGGTACCAGCCGGGTCAGGTGGTTTCTTGCCCTTTTCAGCCTCTAGAGGTTCCCTGCGTTCCTTGGGTTGGGCCCCATCTTCATGTCAATCCTCCTCCAGCTTCCCTTGTCACATGTCCTACTCCTGACTGGGGCCTCCTGGTTCTGTCCATTTCAAGGGCTCTTGTGACTACATTGGACCCTTCCTGAAAATCCAGCAGTCTCCACATTTTAAGATCTTTAGTCACCTCTGTAAAAAGTCCCTTTTACCATATTTACCATATAAGTTAATATGTTCACAAGTACAGAGGCAGTTAAACACATAGATGTATTTGGGACCATTATTCAGCCTCCCATAGTGTCATTGAGGGGATCTTGGAATTATTGACTAGGATAGTAAGTTAAAAAAAAGCCCCGTTTAGCTGGGTATGAATAGCACACGCCTGCAATCCTAGTTACTCAGGAGGCAGAGACCAGGAGGATCACAGGTCAAAGCCAGCCTGGGCAAATTGTTCTTGAGACCCTATGTTGAAAAAACCCAACACAAAAAAGGGCTGGCAGAGTGGCTCAAGTGATAGAGCACCTGCCTCCCTAGCAAGCATGAGGCCCTGAGTTCAAACTCAGTACCACGAAAATAAGAAAAAAAAGTGTTCTTTGTATTCTGTAGTTTTATTCTACCTCCATGACCCAAGATTAAAAGTTTTTTCTTTCTTTTTTTAAGCCAGGCGCCAGTGGCTTGTGCCTGTAATCCTAGCTACTCAGGAGGCAGAGATCAGGAGGATCGCAGTTTGAACCCAGCCTGGGCAAATAGTTAGACCCTATCTCAAAAATTTCTGTTCCCACACACACAGAAAAAGGGGGGAGCTGAACTGGTGGAGTGGCTCAATGTATAGACCCTGAGTTCAAACCACAGTACCTCAAAAACAAATAAATAAAAAATTTAAAAAGTGTTTCCTTGGTCTTTTTTTTTTTTTTTTTTTTTTTTTTGTGGTACTGAGTTTTAAACTCGGGGCCTCACACTTGCTAAGTAGGCACTCAGCTTGAGCCACTCCACCAGCCCTGTTTTGTGTTTGGTATTTTTGAGATAGGATCTCACGAACTATTTGCTCAGGCTGGCTTTGAACCTTGATCCTCCTGGTCTCTGCCTCCTGAGTAGCTAGGATTACAGGCAGAAGTCACCAGTGCCCAGCTTCTCTTGCATTTAATTATGAATTCAAAACAATTTTGATTCAGTTAAGGAAAATTTCTTTGTCCTTTAGTTTTTTTCACTGTGAAACCAAGAATAAAAGCAGAGGTCATTGATAATTGAAACTAGAAACACTACTGAAATATTTGAGCAAGGTGATTTTTAAATGTTTTCCTTCATAAGTAGTTAAAACAAATCCAAATAGTCACAACAGGAGTCTTTGCCTGCTGGGTGTCAATACAAACTTGAGGTGTGCTGGCAGCCAGCCTGGGGCTCTCTGTGTGTTAATGAATATTCTTTTTAAACAACATTTTATTAGCATATGATATTTATCTGACATTTCTGTAAATATATATATTATATCCCATTTTGGTTCATCCCCTCCCTTATTCTCCCTCCTACCCCATTCCCCTTCTGAAAATGACTTCAGCAGGTTTCAGTGTTCCACATTCGTACATGTATAGAAAGTACCTCGATCACATTCACCCTCCTTTACCCTCTGCATTTACTCTCCCCTCCCACCAGTGTCCTCCCCTTTACATGACCTCTTTTACATTCATTAATGAATATTCTTTGGCAGGATTTTTAATTTCATTAATCCAGTGTCTTCATTTTTGTTCTGGGTATGTTTTTTGGTCATTCGATTTTGGTGTTTTGGTGGTACTGGGATTTGAATGCAGGGCCTCACACTTGCTAGGCAGGTGCTCTGTCACCTAAGCCATGTCCCCAACCCTTGTTTTCAGAGTGCAACAGAGGATAACAGCCCACCCAGCTTTGTGGCCTGCTGCAGTAGCTGGCATTTGCCTTTGCTCATGCTTTCTTTCTCCTGAATGCCATCATTCCTCTTTCTTAGTCATTGCCTGAACTTCTGTCCTTGCACATAAAGTAGAATTCTCATTCTCACCTGCCAAATCTTCTTTGAACTTAATGGACCAGTGGGAGAAATGCTGCAGGTTGAAGCTGAGTAGAACATGACTAATCGTGGGGAGGTAGGTTGGATGGTTTTGATGGGATTAGGTCAAGGAGGTAACAAAATCAACCTGAAGAGCTAGAAGGAATGTTTAGCTCCCTGGGATGTTTTCAGTGGGTTGTTTTGGTTTGTTTTTGTTTTTGATAAATCTTAGTAAGAAGAAGCTACTATGTGCGAAGAAACCACTGGAAGAGAAAAACACATTTTTTGTTTGTCTGTTTGAGAAAGGAATTCACTACTTAGCTCATACTGACCTTGAACTAAGAATCCTTCTGCCTCTGCTGGAATTACGGGTGCATCCACTTCACCCAGCTAAGAAAAAGAGATTTTTGTTTGTTTTATTTAAGACATCATTAGAGTTAGGCCAGGCATCATGGCACTCCTGAAGGCTGAGACAGGAAGAATGTGAGTTTGAAACCAGCCAGGGCTATAAACCAAGATCCCATTTTTAAAAAGTAAAAAGGGATGGAGCTGAAGGTCAGTGGGAAGGTGCTCACCTAGTATGCATGGGACTCTAAATTTAATCCTCAGTACCAAAAAGAAAAAAGACACTGTCATGTTAGTCTTGAGTATCTCACTTGAAACTCACTGTATGTTGTAGTAGCAAATTAGCTTGGAACTAATAAAAATTCAAATCAGGAAATGTAAGAAATGTTTTCTTTATGCTAATATTTACCTAAATGGTTTTGTTTTGTTTAAAAAAATCATGTATCCCCATTCATTATTATAAGATGAATACATTGTTCTGGAGGTGTCTTATTTTCATTTTGTATGACTTAACATAACAATTTACTTTCAGTACTTGATACTATAGCAGTCTTGCAATTACGAGTACCCTTGTATGTGCTGCCCATCCTAGAAAGCGTGTGTGTTTCTGAGACATGAAGGTTAACATTATTTATATCTGTTAGGAGTCAGCCATCATTCCAGACTTCCCAATTTTTGTGCTTAAATTGTTGTCTATGAACTTTTATTCTAGTTCTTTTTCCAGAAAGAATGAAACCCAGGTAAGTCCTGAGAAATGTAGAAAAAACATTGATAATTTTCAGAATAAAGGATTTTATTTCTGAAAGTCAAAGTTAGGAAGTTCATAAGTAAGAGTTTTCTTGGTTACTTGGGTTCTTACCTGTTGTTTAAAAAGGCTGTGTGCTCAGCCAGCACCAAGAGCAAACAGAAGCTGGAAACATGACTCCTGTCCCCAAGGATTCAGGAGCTCTTGGGCAGCAAACCTCTGAAAAGTTAAGTCACACCAGAATTACACTTTGCAAGTGTTTAAAGTCCTTCACAACACATTTTCACATACGTAACTTAAGTTCCTCATATTTGGCATGCAAGTGTAGCTTATTAGAAAACATTGAAATCCCTTCATCTCTGGCACAAGGTTCCTGTGAAGAACATCCAGCCCCA